TTAAAAGAAACTCAATTCAAGGGTACAAAAATCATATTGAGCAACATCATAGAAGAAAGCTTTCCTCACCTAAATAAACACATACCTATTAAAGTGCAAGAACCTTACAGAAAACCAAATAGACTGGAGCAATTGGATTTAACAGACATCTATAAAACATTCCATCCAACCAGAAAGAATATACCTTCTTCTCAGTGCCACATGAAACCTTCTCTAAAATTGATCATATACTCAGCAACAAAGCAAACCTCAATAAACAAAAAAATGGAATAACTCTTATGAGACCACCATGGCATAAAGTTAGAATACAACAACACAAATTTCAGAAAGCCTACAAACTCACAGAAATTGGACAATGCTAAATTACATTACTCATGGATCAAGGAAGAAATGAAGAAATTAAAAATTTACTAGAATTCAATGAGATGGAGACATAGCATACCTGAAATTGTGGGACATTTTGAAAGCAGTGCTAAGAGGAAATTTTCATAGCACCAAGTGTCCATATTTAGAATCTGGAGAAGTGTCACCCCACAGAATTAATAGCAACCCTGAAAGCTCTAGAACAAAAACAAGCAACCTCACCCAGGAGGAGTAGACAGCAGGAAATAAGCAAATTGAGGGATGAAATCAATAAAAATAAACAAAGACAACAATGCAAAGAATCAATGAAACAAAAATGTGGTTTTTTAAGAATGTCAGAAAGGTAGACATTTCTTGCTCCAAACTAACAAAAAGGCAGAGAGAGAGCATTCAAATTAGCAAATCATAAATGAAAAGGGAAGACATAACTGAGGAAATCCAGAGAACCATCAGGTCATGTTTGAAAAACTGTACTGAACAACATTGGAAATTTAAAGGAAATGTAATGCAAATATATTAAGCTACACAAAATAGGGATGCCGTATGATATTTTATTGGGGGAGAAATCACTTACGTGAGTAGCCAAGAAAGCCAAGAACCAAAGGTCCGAATGCTGCTTTCCGGGCTGAAACTGGAACCCAAAGAGAAAGAGTCTCCTCTCCCTAGCTCTTTTATACCCTGTACTTTCTATGTACCTGTGTACACACCCAAATGGGCATTGTCAGTGCTACGGGTATGTAGATCTCTTCCTATAGAAATGGAAGATGTTTCTGGGTAAATTTCACTTATCAAAACTAAATCAAGAACAGATAAGCAATTTTCATACAGCTGTTATCCATAATGAAATAGAGCAGTTATCAAATGTCTCTCAACAACAACTAAAAAATAGAACCGGATTGTTTCAGCAGAGAATTCTACCAGAAATTCAAACAAGAGCTAATACCAATAATCCTCAAATGGTTCGACATAATAGAAGCAGAAGGGTTATTGTAACACTCTTTTTATGTGCTACAATTACCGTGCTACCAGAACCACACAAAGACACAACTAAGATAAAGAACTACAGACCAATCTCCTTACTGAATATTGGCATCATGAACATTGATGTAAAAATACTAAATAAAACACTGGCAAATCAAATGCAAGAACACATTACAGAAATCATCCGCCATGATCAAGTAGACTTCATCCCAGGGTACGGAGATGGTTCAAATGCAAAAATCCATCAATGTAATTAACCATATAAACAAACTGCAAAAACAAAACCACATGATCCCACTAGAAGCTAAAAAAGCTTCTGACAAAATCCAACACTCCTTCATGATAAAGGTTTTGGAGAGACCACGGATAACAGGAACATACCTAAACATGATGAGGACAATATACAATAAGCCATCAGTCAACATCAATCTAAGTGGAGAGAAAACCAATGAGATTGCACTAAAATCTGAAACAATATTTTAAATTTTGTCTAATGTTACTGGACTAATTATTAACTATAGTTCTTACTTGATAACTGTTTTGTTATATATAGTTTTATTGTTAAAGTTAAAACATTTCTTTTTATTTAGACAGAAAAGTGGGGATGATGGGGGAAGTGCTTCCGTATATATGTTTCCCTTATTGGTTGATAAACAAAACACTGTTTGACCTCTAAAGGCAGAAAGATATATAGGGTAAGTAGATGAGGACAATGTGGGGGAAAGAGGCAGAGAGAGATTGCAAAGAGATGTCTTGTAGAGACCAGGAAGATAGGACATGCCAGGCAATCTCTGGTAAGATAAATCCATGTAGAAATACATTGTTTAGTAGTTATGGAATAATAATTGAGATAGATCTAGCTAATAAGGAGTCTTACTATTGGCTAACAATTTAATAATTAATATGTCTCTGTGTGCTTATTTATGGCGGAAGTGCGACAGGACCTGGCAGGACTGAAACCTCCATCTCAAAAATGGATAGTAAAGTCCTTAGAAATGAAATAGAATAACTTGGCATGATGGCACACGCTTTTTATCCAGGCACTAAGGTGTTAAAGGCAGGCAAATCTCTGTGATGTCAAGGACATCCTGGTCTACAGAGTGAGTACCAGGTCAACCAAAGATACACAGTAACCCTGTCTCACAAAAAATAAAAGAATTGTGCAAATACACAGTGGATGGATTACCAGTCAGAGGGCATATAGGGATTTGAACAAGACCCTTGGTATTTACAGTATAGCTTTCAGTATTTTCAAGGAATTACTGTGTCTATGAATAAGTGGTCACATGATTATTCTGCCTTCTTTTGGAGAACTTTCCCTCCTGTTGTTTTTCCTTGTCTATCTTTAAAGTAGTAGAAGTTCTTTTATCTTATTACATTTTCTTTTATTAAAAAGTCTCTGTGATTAAATATACGCAAAAGGTTTTCTTTTGCTTTAAAATTAGTAATGGATATTTTTCCTTTCAAATATTTATTCATTTTATATATATATGAGTGCACAAAGGTCAGATCACTTAGTTTGATCCTCTAGATGGTATTTATGAATGTTTGTGAACCTCCCTGTGGGTGCTGAGAACAGAACTCAAGTCCTTTGATAAAGCAGTTAATTTTCTTGAATACTGAGCCCAGGCAATATGTATTTTTATAACCAGTACTATATTTTAACATTCCTGTTTTGAAATTTTTATGCAAAACTTCATGAATATGAAAGTACAGCAGGTTGCTTTAGCTATGAAAATCATAGTTGCAATGAGAGTCATCCATTACAGACGGAATTGGTAGCATCAAATGATGGCCAAAATTAATGAGCATGTGGGATTGCATGTCACCTGTGAGTAGAGGCTGAAGCATCAAGAGTAGCAAGCAGTTTACTGCTGCTTCAGTGAATATATTTATGAGGATATTATGGTCCATCCACACATCTCCTGGGTCTTTCTCAAGCTACATAAGTCACCACAGCACATAAATATTTGCATGCCCATGTTTGTTTCAGCATTACTCTGAATACTTATGCTACAGAATCAACCTTGATGCTGCCAACAAATGAGCAAATAAAAAAGAAAAATTTAAAATTTTGTTATTTTACCCCACATATAAATAGTCAATATTAACTTTTCCAATGAATTCTTAGAGTTTTGAAAGTTGCATTCAACAGATTATCTCACTGAAATATATACACAGTGATTTTTAACTGTGATGTAAATAAATAGACTATATGTATTTCATGAATGACTGAAACAAAAGATAATGTTAAATGAATAAGATTACTTGGTCCAGACTTCTCTTAGACATATTAGAAGTATGAGAAAAGGCACAACGAGTTTATGTACATACAACATAATTGTCAGCCTGGAAGTATTAAATTATATGATTAGCAGATATTGGGGATGGTACAAGAGATAATCATGTTAAATCAGGAGTCAGACTCAGGAAATTCAGACTTTTCACATCCTCTAGATGCAGCTTTCTCTGTGTGTGTGTGTGTCTGTGTGTCTGTGTGCCCACACACTTTTCCAAAAAAAAGACAGGTAGCATTTGAGTATTGAAAAGACTTGATGGAATTAAGGATGATATACCATGTGAAGCCAGTGGGAACAAAATATCATCTCTCCCACTGACAATGCAGATTCTAGATTACAACCAAGAATAGATTTCTGTGATAATGGTAGCAGAGTTTACATATTCAGCACAGGTCATTTCACAGTTATCATTTCTTCTAAGAAACTCAGCATAAGTATTATTCACAGCTATGACTAGAAAGTAAAATATGTTAAAATAATGTAGGAAATCCAAGATAAAGTAGAAGAAACTGGTCATCACAGATATCTGTGAAAACCAAAGACTGGAGAGGGAGATCATGCTTTAGAAGTCAAATATTCAGTTTATTATCCCATTAATAATGATTTGTTGGGAGGGGGACTGATAGGACTCATGAAGTGTTTGAAATAAGGCAAAAACTTTTAGTTTCTCTCTGGATATTGTTGAATATTAAAAAATCAATATTTAACATGTTAATTAACTGTGATCTGTGATAGTTTTGTATCCAACAGGATCCAGGAAATTTTAGGATTTGACCTGACTATTGGTTCTCAACCCAATGGAAGCATGGATTTGGTTAGATATTCTGTACCTGTCACTGGCACAGTATAGGCCCCATTGTGCATACACTGTGGGTCTCAGGTGTTTCACATAAGAGGCTGCCTCTCCATGGAATGGTCTTGGTGGTATAATGCCCAGTGTGTAGCCAAGAATTCTGACATTGTGGGTTCTTCTTCATCTAAGAAAATCTAATGACCTCATTTCTAGTGGTGCTAGATCATCTTGGGACCTTTCACAAAATGTCTCTTTCCCTAGGGCCTTTTGTCAACAAACATGAGTGATGTCATGGACCAGGAGACTGAACTCTCTCCAGATATATTTATCAACCCATGTTATTCACATGTACTGTGGACCTCAGATGCAAAGCCCCAGGGACGAGAGTATTCAAGATTTATCCAGGCCTAAGAAAACCCCTTGAGAAATATGAATCATGGATTTAGAAATAGCCTCTCATTTGACCAAGAAATAAAAGCATGTAGGAGTAAATGGGAGTTCATTTAATGTGCTTTTCTACATGGCACTTTATGGCGTATGCTCCGGTGTAGCACAGCACAGAGATGTTCAATATGATTTTCCTCTTGTTGCTTCTCAACATTCCACTTCTCACGGCCAGTTTCATTTATCCCAGGTGCTTTTGGAAAATGAAGCAGAATGAAGGCAAGGATGATTACTTGGGGAGAGGCTGTATCTTCCTCCCCAGAATAGTGCAGTTGCCTGTGGCAAATGACTATTTCAACCAAATTTTGGATATACAGTAAGTGACTTTTATGTTTTTCTTGTAAAATGCCATCATGAATATTTCATGAGGAGTCTTGGGTCCTTTTCCTGTTCTTTCAATCTCCATACAAAGAAATGATCCCCAATTCATTGAGAGACCAATTGCAATCTTACCACTTTTAGTTTTCCAGTATGTGTTCTGGTTTTTTTCCAGTTAGACTCCCACTAACAAGTCTAGGTGTGGAGTGAAAGAAGCAGTGTCTACCATGAACCATAACAAAGAGCCCTCCACTTGATTTTCTCCATACTACAGTAGCCAGTGCCATCTCATCAAAAGAAACCACATACAATTTCAATGAATTTCATTCTCAGGACATGCAAGTAAATGCCCTTAGCATCTGTTGATGGTCCTTTCCTCTTGTGTGCTTGTGTGAAGACCACAAATGTTTGTGCCACACATAACTGCAAAGACATTTCACATAGTCATTAACTTACCCCCACAAATCCTTTCATGTGGTCACTCTGCATTCTTTACCAGACAAGAGAATGAAAGCAAGATACCTGTCCCCTGTGAACTCCAAATATAGTCCTCTTTCTTAAAACTTCCCTTACATATCTGAACAACCACTGGTTTTTAAGAATTACAAAGTCCAGTTTCCCACTTTCCCTTTACCATAAAGAATGAATGTATGGATTGGAAATGACATGTTTGTAATTTTTGAAAAGTGAGACTACAAATAATAGTGATTACTTGCTACTTCCCTGGACACTTGCCCGAGAGACAGCTACAGCATATGATATTTAGCAACATTTGAGATCAGGGATAGAGGCATTACCTACTAGCTCATCTTTGCCCTTATTTAATAATCATGTTTCTTTCTTCTTTATATATAAGTTGTTTATTCTCTGACACTTGTGTCATACTTACCTCTTATGCCTCTAATGCTTCTTATTCAGTAATTTTATGAATTACAGCTGCATATTTTACCATTGTAGGCACTGTATACATGCCGATTTTGTTAAATGCTGGTAGTTGTTTTAAAACAGAACACTTTAGTTTAATAGGCAAATATGATATCTCAAATCACTGATTTTTGCTTAATTTTAGTGTGATGTAGTTAGTGTTACAGTTGCACAAGTTCTAGTCTCAAATTTCTTTGGCATTTATGGAAATTCCAATGACACTTTTTGTTTCTGTTGATAAGGATTATTTTAAATGTCTATTTTTATATACAAAGTCATGATAAAAGTATGATTTCTAAATGGAAATCAGATTGTATTTAACTCTGAATAAATCATTCAGAATAAAGGAATATTTTATGTATATTAGTCAGAGAATATGAACTGTCAAGAAAGAAACATGAGTTATTATTCTTCCTGTAAACATAAGCATAACATGCTAATATTATCTTCAAACTGACTTGTTGCCGATTTTTATTACAATACAATTAAACATCCCCATACATATTACACTTTATATTCTTCTATTTTACAAATAAGACGGTATGTCACTACAAATGTCAGTAGGATACCAGTGTGGTGTTAGTGTAACTGCAAAGGTATTCTAAAGATTTGACCTAGAAAAAAAGTTAGTCAGATATATCCAGGGTGAATATATGACATGTCTGTGTAAATGTGAAGTAGTCAAACAATACTGTTGTGAGGTAAATGCATGAATCTCTGCACCCAAGACCTGCAGCAGGTGTATCCTTGTGCATTTGAGACCACTCTATATTATAGGAAATTGTCGTTCAAAACCATGTGATCTCTGCCCTTTTGTGGTCTAAACTGACATAAATCCTGTCAAACACACAGATGGATGCAGGCATATTCATCTTTAACCAAACACATCTTTAGTGTTTCGATTTATTTAACAATAAATATTTAAAAAAGATTTTTGCTTGAAATAGATAAACCAGAATGAAAAAGCAAGATGAAGTTAGACATGAGGACTATATTGTTCACTAATTATCAGGAACTGTTAGTCCATTAGTCAAATTTTCCCATTTAAAATTTATTGTGTACTCCTCTGTTAATCTTTGAAACCTTTAGCTAGTTCAGTAGTTTTCTTAAGAAAATAATAAAACCTCTTTAGCTAACACTTCATGTATATTTATTATATTAATTGATAATTTTAAAATGGGGATTGTCATGTCTACTCTTCGTTCAATGCCTGTGAACTTACCTTAACTTCTAAGGAAGCTCTCAAAAACCAGAGAGTGAAAATGCTTTCTGAGGACGATGTTAATGGCACATCTCATTTATGGAAGATCCAACCCAATGGGCACTAAAGCTTTTGAAGTTTCCAGGTCCTTATGTCTTCCTAACCTCATAACAAAATATATTTGTTTCAATATTTGCGAGAGGTTGGGAATATCACTCAGTATAGGACAGTCCTTGTATTGACTACAATCATCTATTGATCTCTGCCCATATTAAACACTGTACCTTTTTACAGAACAGCAGCTGAGAACTACAAGTTTGCTCTGGCCTTGGCTTTTACCATGGATGAAGTCAACAGGAACTCTGATCTATTACCAAATAAATCTTTAGTATTTGATTTCTCAGCAGATAATTGTATGAGCATGTCTCAATTGTACAGCCTCAAACAATTTTTGGAACAAGATCATGATATTTTTCCTAATTATATCTGTGACGAAGGTATCATGTGTCAAGTGACGCTTACAGGACCAAACTGGGAAACATCTGCAATACTTGGGACAATCCTAGACCTCCACAAAACCCAACAGGTAATTTTTTATGGGTTGGGTTTGACTGAAATGGTGCTTCCATTGTTTCCATTCTCAGATACTAAAAAGGTGTTAGCCTTATATTTATATCAATGTATATAGTTCGTGAGTATTATTCAGAGACTGATGGGCCTTGTAATTTTCCCTGTTTGAAATAGAAATAAGGGAAGAAGCAATAGCTAAGGGGATTAGGCAAGGTAGTTCTCTAGAACTCTGCAGAGAAAAATGTCTTTACAAGTTCTTAGGAGTGCATGGTACTTCATGATGTTCCCTGCATCACAGGTTATTCAACTTACCTATGGACCCTTCCATCCAGTCCTGAGTGATTATGAACAATTTCCCTACCTGTATCAGATGGCCCCGAAGGACACATCTCTAGCCCTCGCCATGGTGTCCATCACACTTCATTTCAGCTGGACGTGGGTAGGGCTGGTCATCTCAGACAATGATCAGGGAACCCAGTTTCTCTCATATTTGAGAAGAGAGATGGAAAAACATACAGTCTGCTTTGCCTTCATAAATATGATCCCAATCAACATGCAGTTATACATGTCAAGGGCTGAAGTGTACTATAACGAAATCAAGACATCATCTACAAATGTTGTTATCATTTATGGTGACACAGACAGTACTCTTGCTGTGAGCTTTCAAATGTGGGCATCCCAGGGTTTACAGAGAATATGGGTCATCACCTCACGGTGGGATGTGACTATAAGTAAAATAGACTTCATGCTTGACTCACCACATATGACTCTAGCTTTTGCACACCATCATGGTGAGATTTCTGGTTTTAAAAATTTTGTTCAGACATTGAGCCCTCTCAAATACACAGATGAATATCTTGCAAGGATGGAGTGGTTGAACTTTAACTGTGAAGTCTTTACTTCCAACTGTACCACACTGAAGAACTACTCATTAAGAGCCTCTATGGAATGGTTAGTGGTACGGACTTTTAACATGGCCTTTAGTGATGGTGGTTATGACATATACAATGCTGTGTATGCTTTGGCCCATGCACTACATGAGATGGATCTTCAACAAGTAGATGCTCAGCCAATGAACAATTGGAAAGGACGTGGTTCTATCTGCTTGAAGGTAGTGTTTTTTCTATTGGATAATATTTGCTGTCAACAATGTCCGAGCATTTTTTCTGCTGAGAATGTAAATCTAGAGTTTGGTAGAAATCTCTAATGCAAAGACAAAGGGAAAGAAGACACAATGAATCAAGGACAATCAATGATTTTGTTACTGAGCATCTGAATGGCATTACCCCTGTCCTAATACTGTAAACATTATCAGTTCTTTGTCACGAATCCTCTCCATGATTAGATGAGGTCTTTGTACATTAATTGTCAAGTAAGTTGCAGTCAGTGTAGGGGATGTTTTTTGTAGGTGTTCTCAACTGATTCTTCTCCCACTGTCACATCTGGGGAAGTCAATTACCATGCACAGGCACAGGCAACAGTTCTGTGATTCAGTTTGTACATACATGTGCATTCATGTGTGTGAATGGATGATTCTCAGTATTTGTGTGAATATTTGTATTTTTCTGTACGATTGTGTGTGTATATGTTTTCATATATGTTTAATGAGTATCTGTCTTCCTGTGCAAGTGAGAACAAATTTGTGTCTTTTTGTATGGGTATTTTTTCTGTGTGTACCTTCCTGTGTGTATATGGCAATGAATGTGTCTGAATGAGCCTATTTGCGTATTTGTATGTTTCTGTCTATGTGCTTACACATACATATATTGGTATTGTTGTGTCCATATGTATATGTGTGTCTCTGACTTTTGATGTGGGCATAAATTTTTCTGTTTGTCCATGCCTTTCTCTGTTGGTGTTTGTGCATGTTTGTTTTTCCCTGTATGTATTTGTGTATATATGTATTCCTGTGAATGGGTTTTCTGTGTTTCTGTATGTATTTTTGGATGCACATCCCTCTCTATGTTTGCCTGCATTTATATAAAAATGGTAGGGCATGGGTGTACAAAGAAGTTTGATTCTGTATTTTGTGGGTATCTGTATGAATGTGAGTCTGTGTGTGTGTGTGTGTGTGTGTGTGTGTTTGTGTGTGAGAGAGAGACAGACAGAGAGTTGCAGAGAGAGAGAGAGAGAGAGAGAGAGAGAGAGAGAGAGAGAGAGAGAGAGAGAGAGAGAGAGAGAGTTGCATACCTATGTTCGGTGTCTGCATGTATGTTTCTGTTTGTTTGGCAGGTTCTTCTAAGGGAACTAAAATTCTAGGAAGATTATGATAATCTTATGCCTCCATTTGCTTTCACCAATTTTTCTCCCCTGGGTCCCTTCAATAATGTTGTCTTTAAGATAAAATTAGAATGTGTCTTGATTTCAATGAAGGGCACACATATTATAAGATGCTGCATGTTTTTCAGCTGAACTCATTTCTGAAGAAGACCCACTTCACTAATCCTGTTGGGGACAGAGTATATATGAACCCAAAAGAAGAACTTCAGAATGAGTATGATATTTTCCAGATTTGGAATGTCCCACATGGTCTTAGATTTAAGGTGAAGATAGGAAAGTATACCTCAAATTTTCTACATGGTCAACAGCTCCATGTATATGAAGACATGATAGAGTGGGCAACAGGAAATAGACAGGTGGGTCTGATCTAATTCTACTGATTTCCCTTGCACAGCAGTAACAATGTCAAGTTGGAACCATTTGAGCTTCATTGTGGCTTAATGTAATAAATTGTCATATTATGAATCAATATTTAGCCACCTACTTTGTTTTTTCTTTTTTCCTTTTTGATGTGATACTTGGTGAATCTTTTGAGGATTTCCAACATGCATACTGTGCATCAGTATCATATCTGAATCTGTTTCTGATTTTAAATATAAATATAAAACTGGTTGTAAAAATGATTTAACATTGTTTCCAGCAAAGTGAACAAAATTCTCTTGGTACCAGAAGGATTACAAAACAGTGATTTCTTCCCTTATGCTTAATCTTTGGCACAGATGTTTTAAAATAGGCTCCTGTAAGGATGGAGTAAATTAAAAACACATGAATCATGAATTTTTATTATTTAATTTTGTTTAACTATTTTTATATAGAGTTCCTAAATTGTCATCACCTCTAACCATAAATTAACAGTTTATGATATATATTAGATATTCTATTTTCTTCCTTTTTTGTGAGTATGGGTGTTTTGTCCTCGCGTATGCTTGCAACTGCTGTCACTGTGGTTCATATGGATGACAGAAGACATATTTACTTCTAGGAAATGGAGAAAGCTTAGTTCCACACAGTGGCTGCTAGCAATAAATTGTCAATCCTATTCATGAGAATAGCATTGTACTGAATACTGAGTCATATCTCCAGCTCTGAATCATTCAGTATAAAAGAAATTTCTCAAGAGAGATACCTTGCTTGCTTGTGTTAATATTTTATAGTTCATTCAAAGTGATAATGGAATGTCTAGTTTTCTTATCTGTAGTTGGAGCATTGGTAGTAATAAAATTTTGTTTTGATGACATTTATAAATGGGATATCCCATTATTGATCATGGATATTTTATAGGGTTGAATTCTGATGTGGGTGGTTTTAATGTATCCAATTCAAACTGCCTAGTGCAAATTTGGTTGATTTTGAAAGACTGTAACTTCAGGAAAGTATTCAAGCATGATCTGAAGTGAGATCTCAGGTTGCCTAGATAGTATGAAACTTACAGTTTTTGTTCTTTCTCCAAATGTGAGGAGGTTCATTCCCAGAGAAAAGAACATATGAGCTGAATGTGTAGTTACCGAGCTACATATCCATTTAGAGGGAAGCAATGAATCCGCAGGTCTATTCTAATCACCCCTCACTTGAGCATTACAGAAACTCCCACTAGAAAAATACTGGGGATTGAAAGCAATTCTACCAGTGCTCTGCTCCCAGAAATGCAAATTGCAATGCAGAAACAAACAAAAAATAAATACACAGGAAGATATCAAAGAAACATGACTCCAAATCCTACAGTCATAGACTTAAATGAGAGTATGCTCAATGACAAACTACACAATAAATTAACAGAATGATTATGAAAGTGTTATAGAAAAATTAAAGAAGACACAAATTACTTCTTGGAGGAACAATGGGATCATGATATCTTGTATATAATTAGACACTTAATGAACATATGACAAAACATTTCAATAAAGGTACACAATAGGTAAAAAGGTTTTAAAAATCATTTAAAGGTAAAGTAAAAATATATAGTAAAAATCTCAGGAAAAATTCTCACTAATAGAACACTGTAATTTGAAGGGAGGATGTGAAACTTGAAGACCAGGTGTAAGAATTAGAAAATTCAAAATTTTACAAAAATAATACAAAAGGACATCAAGAAAAGCATAGGAATTCAAGACAATATGATTAAAAATAAAATTTACAAACCATAAGCCCAAGAGGAGAAGGACTCACTAAATTCTTCAACATTGTATCCAATAAAATGTAGGTGTAATTTTCTGAAATACACCATGATATGTGGCTTTCTATATGCAATAGTCACTTAAATATCATCACGAAAGAAGGAGCCCTTGAATTATTTTTATCTAAAATTGCTTTTGTAGAAAAGAATGAAATCTGAGGGCTGCAGGAGAGAATTCCAGTCATAGAAACACTACATCTGGATATCAGCAGATTCTACTGAGAACACTCTTAAAGGAGGGGAGTAAAAGTGATATATTTCAAATAATTAGAGACATATGCCACAAACCCTGTTTACTATACCAATCAAAAATATCCTTAAATATAGAAGGAGGCAAAACAAATTTCAGTAATGAAGACCATTACAGAATCCATAACAAATGAAGCAACACTATTGAAGTACTTGAAGAACACCTTCAGAATAAAAAGCAAGATAATCTCAAGAGGTCAAAGGAACATAGAGCCAGCATTAGAACATCAGTCAGAAAATAAGTTTTATAAAAGTATCAAATATTCCAGGCACTGGTGGCGCATGCCTTTAATCCCAGCATTTGGGAGGCAGAGGCAGGCGGATCTCTGTGAGTTCGAGGCCAGCCAGGTGTACAGAGTGAGTTCCAGGACAGCCTCCAAAACAATACAGAGAAACCCTGTCTCGAAAAACCAAAAAAGTATCAAATATTGTAATAACAATAAAAGGGCAATAATTTACAAATAATTTCCAAGTAGAATTGAGTGTTATTGGTCATATTTTCAAATCAAAATGCACAGACAATAAAAATGGTTTAAAGAAACAAACAAACATTACTTTGTTACATTCATGGGGAAAATAATGTGATAAACCTTCTATAAAAGGGGGGAAAGCATTCTATAAAAGGAAATTGAAAAAAGTAAAGCTAGAGAACAGTCTCTTGATGGACATGGATATAATAATTCTGCCCGTAATGCCTCCCAAGATATCCCAACATCACAACAGAAAGATAAGTCTCTGCAACCAAGATGACTTCAATCCAGGGATGTAAGCATGCTTCAGTATATGCAGAAGTTTAAGTAATATACCATATAAGTAAACTCAAGGATAGAATACAATTATTATCTACAATTGTGCAGAAAGGGCTCTTTTTTAGTTTTTTTTGTTTTGTTTTGTTTTTTTGAGACAGGGTTTCTCTGTGGCTTTAGAGGTTGTCCTAGAACTCACTTTGTAGACCAGGCTGGCCTCGAACTCACAGAGATCCGCCTGCCTCTGCCTCCCGAGTGCTGGGATTAAAGGCAACACCCGGCGCAGAAAGGGCTTTAAAGTCCAGCCTCCATTCCAACTTAAATAAAAAAGCACACACACAAAAGAAGCAAAGCCTGACAGAATAGAACAAACACATCTTCACATATTGAGGATTTCTGTGGCAAACATATTCACCACATTGTACAACATAGAGTGAAAAAAACAAAGAATATCCATTAAAATGAGATAGAACCAGGTGACTTTGTGTCTTTGTGCATGTCTTTAATTCATGCCCTTTGGACACACAGGCAGGCAACCCTTTTAATAGGCAGTCTAGCCTACACAGTGAGTTCCAGCAAGACAGAGATCCACATGCAACCCCTAATGTTAATGAAATGAGCAGAAAATTCACACTTTTTCAAGATAATCCTTGAAATATTATCAAATTAAAAATTAATGAAAAAGGAGACATACAAACAATGAAGGAAGGAAATATGGCCTGCTCTGCATGGGGAGTTTAGGTAAACCAAAGATGCTCACTGACCCTCTTTCCTCAAAAACAACAACAAAAGAAGCATTGCAGTTATCTATATTTGTGAAGAGCATTAGATGATTCTATGTTTAGGAGATGCTGTTGTTTTCACATAGAACTTAACTCAAAAGAAAAGATTCAAAGTGAGCAAGCAAGAATCAGAAACCATCTAGTGCAGCATATAGATGTCCATCACCAGGTTCATGGTAATACAAAGATGATATATACATTTTTAAATTCAGAAATCCATCCATTAACTTTAGACAATCTAGCTTTACTCAGTGCCCCCTGCTTTTGCATTTGTAGTCTTTGTAGAACGTTCCACACTGGGAAACACTACACCTTCCTACTCACTACATATCAATTCAGCATTCTCACCAAAAACCCCACTCTGGGCTCTGCCTATTCACCTCTTTGCTCTTAAATCTGTGTTTGTCATGCGTTGCTGTGCTATCGATTTAATGTGTGTTGTCTGAGATTTTAGGAGATATTTCCCCTATTGGAGAGGCCCATTCCTCCAAGCTTGGTATTCTGTTGCTGTGATCAAACACTGACCATAAGTAAATTGATAGAGAATGGGTGATTTGGCTCATGGGATACAGTCAAGGCAAGATAAGTCAGGGATCTGAAGATTTCAGCTAAGACATAGACCTTGAAGGAACACTGCTAATTGGCTTGCTCTGCTTGTTTTTCTCATACAGCTTTGCTAAAGGGCAGCACGGCCCATTAACAATTAATAAAATGCTTCACAGTTAGGATGACAGACTGCTCTGAAAAAGAGAATTTTTTTATTTAAGCTAATCTACGTCTTTTGAACTGTACATTTTCAATGTGTTCATGCTGTTGGTGTGTATTAATTCACCTCATAAATATCTAAACATTGCATATAATAAAGGTATGAAAGGAGTAGGTGGAACTTCTGATGTCAGCACGTATCTAATTTTCCTCAGATGCCAACCTCTGTGTGCAGTGCTGATTGTGGTCCTGGATTCAGAAAATTCTGGCAGGACGGAATGTCAGCTTGCTGTTTTAAATGCAGCCCCTGCACAGAAAATGAAATCTCTAATGAGACAAGTGAGTATTCAAGGCAGTTATAAATGTTTCACATTGATCATTCCTCCCACCATGCACACTGGCATAATGAAGGGTTCTAAAAGGGAATGACACAAATGAAATATATTATTTTCCTGTTAGGCTTTATAGGAATATAATACTTAACCATTGTCCCTGTATAAAACTCCTTATGGCTTTGACCCACATCTTGACTCATTGTAAATTCATGGCAGGGGGCATTTTTCAAAGAGACAGTTTTGATAATCAATGTGCAGCATGAAAGAATTTTATAGAAGGTCTCCTTGAGATTAATCTCTCTAAAATTACTTGTGGATTAGATTTGGGTTGAATCTTTCCACACATTTTTTCTTCTTTTTGCGTGTATGTGTTCCTACATAAGTTTATGCATGCCATGTATGCATAGGCACCCACAGAGAACAGAATAGGACAATGGATCTGATTTACTATGTAATCAGATCCATTATTATGTAATTTATTATGTAATGCTGGTAATCAAATTCAAGGCCTCTTTAAGATGAATTAAGAAAGAAAATTATTACTTGCTTGAATTATTAACTCTAAGAATGAGACAGAAGACTACCTACTTTATCCAGAAACCTCTTATCAAAGGTTCGTCTTAAAGGGAAATTTGGGAAAGTGGGCATAAGTATTAACACATATGGAGAATACATTCAATATTTTTATATACATCACCCAATAATAATGTCACAATTAGCTACAGTTATTCAAATAATGTTACCTTTTACACACACCATATTAGTCAAATGATTAATCAGCATTGACTAAATATAAATGGTAGGCTAACAGTTTTCTCTACTTGTGAAGTCATCCTATATAATAAAATAAATGTCCTTAAGGGATATTTATGACCAGTGAGATGACAAAGCAGTCAATTCCCTTGCCACTAAAACTGATGATCTGAGCAAATCCTCAGGATCAATGCAGTGTAAACTCCATGAACTCTCCAATAAAATATATCCCAAAGTAATTGAGCTATTTTAAATATAAACCATATAAGAATAGTGCTTATTTATGTAAAATTAGAAAAATGTGTTTATTATTACTTTGTGTATGTGTGTGTATGTGAGGTTGGTGGTTATATGCACATAAAGGACAGTGCTGATGAGAGGAATCCAATGTCTCTGCAGTTAGTTTCACACAGTTGTGAGACACCTGATCCTATGACAGGAACTGAATTCAGGTCTTCTTGGAGACCAGCACATTCTCTCCCAGACTAATAAACAAATTAACTAAATAAAAAGTACATAAAATATTGTTCTAGATAAACCCCTTAGATATTGGAAGTCCACTATCATTGTCTGCAATTCAGGGCAATGGCAATATGGTTTCCTCCACATTCTATCATGGTTATCAAAATTATAAATAGGGGACTATTCATCAACACAGCATTCTATGTTAACAGTCTGTCTTAAGGCCTCTCCTGTTACCTTTATCATCTTGTTTATCCATATTTATTTCACCATTGAGTACATTCACAGAGTCTGGGTCTCACAGACATTGAAATTAGAGAAGGAGCAAGGTGTTGCCTGTTCCCACATGGAGCAGAATATAGATGTAGAGGCATTTTAGTGCTAAGTATTTACAGAGCTTTCTACTGTCAGTGATAGTCTACAGGTTCTTCTGAACAAGACTTGGAAGTTTGCTGTTGTTACTACTAGGGGAAGACAGAACTAAGGCTGTGTTTATGATGTATTTTTTAATTTTGCAGTTGTCAATCATTATTCATCTCTCACTTTTACCCTCATAATTGTTCCATATAATCCCAACCACTTTCAAATTCATCACATTTTTGTTACTTTTATATGTATATACAACTATAAATATGGACACACTCATACAACTTGTAAATAACATTTAGAGTTGTTTTTGTTTCAATGTGTTTGGTCCAGTAAATTTGAACTAGAAAATGTAAGAGAATTTTGGTACAATGAGAAGACACAGGCTCAATATCTCTAGGGGACAGCATTCATAAAAGTAGCAAGACCTCAGAAGGCACTGAATCCATGTGATACGGGATTTTAAGAACACTCAGAGAAACTGTGGTGTATGAATTTAGCATCTTTGAGTTAACCAATGTAAGTCATTTCTTCACATCCCCGAGATTGTACCACAAGATCCATGCTTCCTGTTATCATGTCACATGATCACATCAATGTACCTAAATAGACAAAAACATAATTTTTTACTTTTGTTCCCAATAGAGATAATGAGCATTATATAATGGAAACATTTCTATGCAGCAAGGATCTTCAAAGACATCGTCAGCAACAAATGAAGACATTGCAATGTTTCTGCAGTACATGTAACTGAAATGCCTTGTCAATAAAAGTACAGATGGTGAACTAATGACACATTATCTCTCCCTCAGATGTGGATAAGTGTGCAAAGTGCCCAGAAGACCAGTTTGCTAACAGAGAGCAGAACCAGTGCATTTACAAAGCTGTGGTCTTTCTGAACTATGATGATCCATTAGGGATGGCTCTTGCCTTAATGGCTTTGTGCTTTTCTGCATTCACTGCAGTGGTTATCCTGGTCTTTGTCAAGCACCATGACACTCCCATTGTTAAGGCCAATAACCGGAAGCTCAGTTACATCTTGCTCATCTCACTCTTCTTTTGTTTCCTCTGCCCTCTGCTCTTCATTGGCCGTCCAAACTCAGCTACATGCATGCTACAGCAAATCACATTTGGAGTTGTATTCACTGTGGCTGTTTCCACTGTGTTGGCCAAAACAGTTACTGTGCTTCTGGCTTTCAAAGTCACAGCCCCTGGAAGAAGAATGAGATACTTCCTGGTTTCAGGAGGCCCTAACTACATCATTCCCATCTGTACTCTCATCCAAGTTATTATCTGTTCAGTCTGGTTGGGAGCTTCTCCTCCCTCTGTTACTGTTGATGCTCACTCTGAGCATGGCCACATCATCATTGTCTGCAGCAAGGGTTCAGTCACTGCCTTCTACTGTGTCCTGGGTTACCTGGCCAGCCTGGCTCAGGCAAGCTTCACTGTGGCTTTCTTGTCCAGGAATCTTCCTAACACATTCAATGAAGCCAAGTTCTTGACATTCAGCATGCTGTTGTTCTGCTGTGTCTGGATCACTTTCCTCCCTGTGTACCATAGTACAAAGGGTAAGGTCATGGTCGCTGTGGAAATTCTCTCCATCTTGGCTTCTAGTGCTGGGATGCTGGGATGCATCTTTGTTCCCAAGTGCTACATAATTTTGATGAGACCTGTGAAAAACATCTGCAAAATATCAGGGAAAAATCATCTTCCAAAAGTGATAGTTCATTAATTCGAACTGACAAACATATATTGACTTCATGGGCGGTGGTGGCGCACGCCTTTAATCCCAGCACTCGGGAGGCAGAGGCAGGCAGATCTCTGTGAGTTCGAGGCTAGGCTGGACCGACAGCCTCCAAAACAATACAGAGAGACCCTGTCTCAAAAAACCAAAAAAAATTATTGAATTACAATACAAGACCTACATCTTTTAGAATGACTCTCACTGTTTCATCTAATGATCTTGCTTAGCAGTATCATAGCTGCAACTGTTGTCTATGTTGTCTCCTATAAATTATCACTCAGTTACTGATTTTAAAAGACCTAAACATTGGACTATAGTGCAGAGTGGAAACATTCTTTTCTGCTCAAAAACACAAAACTGTTCAAAATGAATGCAATGTTTTTTATTTAATATCAGAGAGAATGAATGACTTTGATGGCAGTTGAGTGTTCAGAAAAAAATACAGAGAGATAAATACTCAGAGTTAAAACAATGTTCCTCCTTATGATGGAAGGGAAGAGGATCCTGGTGCATCCTAAGAGTTAGAAGAGTAGAACACAGGAGAGAGAGGGACATTTCGATGAACAAATGGAAAGAATATTTCAGAAGCAGGATTATTGCATCAGCAGTTAATGTCATTTTCTGCTCTTGCAGAGGGCCTTGATCAATATGCATCTCCAACCTACTCTTCAAAATTATCTGGGACAGTATATCTAGGGGATCAGATGGCCTCTTCTGGGCTTCAGGATTACCTGGACTCACATATGTTTATAAGGACACACACACATACACACACACACACACACACACAGACACACACATACATACAGACACACACACATACAGACAGACACATACATACACAGACACACACACAAACACATACATACAAACACACACATACACCACACCCCTAAAATTATATAGTATTTTAATATGAAAAAATATTGAAGACTGTTCAAAGGGATTCAGATTTTCCATGTACTCTTAAGATATCAAAATTAGGAATAATCTACAGATTAAGGAAGTGCCATGAGAAGAGTCTGTGTTTTGTTCATGATTTGACTAAGAATCTTTGATTATTATTGTAGAATTAGAGAAACAGATAGGGAACTGAAAAGGAAAGAGCAGCTTGTTAAATGGATGTCTTATAGTATGTATGAGTTTTTCATGATACTGACCATCAAAAATCTGTGTATCTGTTAAATTTCTATTGGAGGAAAGCATTGGGCTTAGTACAAGCTGTACTATAGTAGGAGTACACAAAATATTTTTTAGCATAAATATACCCAATTCCAGAATATAAGGGTTAGATTTCGTTTATAAAATATATTTTCATTTCCTGCATTTTCTAATACTCATACAGAAACCACAGAGACCAAAATACTACTTTGAATACTAGGAATTGACATTTTGAATATTATTAGTTACCATTTGTTTTCTGGGATCTCGATCCAAATCCTCCAGAACTGATACTGCTCTTAAGTGTTCTTGATTAGATATCAATTGAATATCAAGGGTTAACAATTGCAGACTTACTTCTTTTCTTGAATGCTGAAGTGGTGGGCTCATTAAAGTGACCTCTAGTAAGGGACTGTGACCTTGACCTTCTTTCTATTAGGCTGGTGTTACCCACAAATATTTTATACTAACATGAATTCATAACACGAGGAAGCCATGCAATGTGCAATGTGTCATGAAAATTAATTAAGATTTTTTGGGGTTCTCAGCCTTTTAAACTGTTAGGTTAGCAACAGAGAGATGTCTTAGAATTGAAGAGCAGGCTTGTAAAGCACCTCGGTTTGATTTCCAGTTGTAATATCATGGCTCACAAGTGCATGCATGTCAAGTTATACAAGGTTTGAAGTGAATAGTCATAAGGATTGTATGTAGTGCACACATATACATGCAGGCAAAGCACTCATACATAAGAATAAATATTGAGGAATGTGATATTTGGTAACTGCGATACCAGTTTTAAATGATTAACAATCAGTAACAAAATTCTACTGTGTGCAGTATCAAAGGACCTAGTTGGCTTCTTATTCTGGCATATTAGTCTTTCTATTGATTTTTCACACATCATATGTTGGTCAAAATCCAATTGTAAGCCAATTGATTAATCATGAATGAGAAAGAGAGAGAGACACAGAGAGAGAGAGAGAGAGAGAGAGAGAGAGAGAGAGAGAGAGCTAAAGTGGGGGAGGACTATTAGTCCTATTCAAGGGATTACATGGGAGCATAAAACTACCTATTTGAGGCCTCTGAGAAGGAGGCTGGCCTGGCCTAATTGGCAGGGGGAGGGGGGCAGCACTGGAGGTCAAGAGCTTTGCATTTCGCAGTGCTGTTTGAGGGGCGCTGTGTGGCTGGAGGAAGCAGAAAGCAACCTAATTTCCAGGGGTCTCTGGAGTGAACCATGTTGAGTTCTGCCAACGGTTAGCAGATCCACCTGGGGAGCTACGTGGAGGATTACCTGGACTCCATGGAGTCATTGCCTTCGACCTGCAGAGAAGCAATGTCTCGCTGATACAGGAATCGATGCCAAATACCAAGAGATCCTGAGAGAATTGGATGACTACTATGAGAAGTTCAAGCATGAGACAGACGGCGCCCAGAAAAGGCACATGCTGCTCTTCATACTGAGGGCCCTGATCTGCAGCCCGGAGCTGGGCGATGAGAAGATCCAGACTGTAAATCAGATGGGGGAGCTGGTGGAGAACGGCACCAGGCAGATGGACAGCCATGGGGAGCTCTTTGAAGCACACCAGGACATCAGTGACAGCACCAGCGGAAGCAGCAATGTTGTTCAGAACAAATCCAAGAGTTAGGCAATCACTCAGGCAGACAAGCAGAATAGCAAGTATTCCAGGAGGCAGTGAAACAATGAGAATCAAGAGAATGCTTCTAATAATCAAAACCATGATGACATCACCTGAGGAAGGCCCAAGCAGAAGACAGCAAAAACCTCAAAGAAGAAGAAATGGTCCAAGGCCAAAGCAGAGAGGGAACTTCTTCCACAGTCCTCCCTATTGTCCACAAGGAACCCATGTACTATCAGTGCAATCAGGTCTCCTGTAGAGAGATGATCCGCTGCAACACACCATCGTGTGGTTCCATTTTTCTTGTGTGGGACTCAACCATAAACCAAAGGACAAGTGGTACTGCCCCAAATGTCAGGGGGAGAATGCGAAAACAATGGACAAAGCCCTGAAAAAGTCCAAGAAAGAAAGGGCTCACAACAGGTATTTAGTGGATATTCACGCTAAAGAACAGAAACTGCCGAAATATTTATGGTGTCTCTGCCTTTTTTGACGTCCAATGATGGTCACACGTGTATTTTTAGAAAATGGTAGGAATAGATACTCATCTTGGGATGGCAGAAACAGCCAGTGTCTTCATATTGTACCTGTAAGAAGACTGTGTCTACAGATCGGCATTTTAGAAACAACAAGTATAGGTTCAGATTAAACATGTCAGCAAATGTCAGACTTGGGGCCAAGGCCCCACAGGGTCTCTGAGTTGTTTGTCAGCTGATAGCCACAGGTGTATCCTGTTTTCTAGTCCTGGCTTACTGCCCCCATATTGCCCCACTGACATCAACATTTAGCAGGAGGAAAACATGCTCTGTTCCACCTAAGGTTTCTCACCGTCTGTATATTGTATGTCTGTAGGTCTCTGCATTTGTTCATATCTTCCACAGAAGGAAGCTTCTCTGATGGTGGCTAACCAAGGCAGCGATCTATGATTATGGTGGAATGACATTAGGAGTTATCTTATAGCTACACCCTCACACATACACACTCACTCCTGGAAATAAGGCAGCACATGCTTTTGCTTAGTACAAACAGCTGGACATCTGGTCTTTATTTCCTGATATCTTGGACTTGC